AGCCACACCTTCGCTACCACTACTACCACCACCACTACCACTACTACCACCACTACCATCACTCCCTCAACTCCCCAATCTCCTCCAACTAGCTCAAAAACAACGTCTCATATTCAAGCGATACACCACAGCCCGGGGACACATCCACTCTCCTCCCTCAGATGGCTCCATTAGAATTCGCGTCACGTTCCACATAGACTCTGGCGTCGTGGTCTTATTCTTCGCCTTCTTCGTCTTATTCCCATTCTTCCTCAGCCTCCAACATGACCCGAGGTAGTGGTGTGGTGGTGGGAGGGGGGGTGGGTGGAGGAAAAGGAGGAGGGAGAGAGGAGAAGGAGTAGGAGGAATAAGAGGAGAAGGAGAAAACGAGGGAGGAAGTTCTCTATTCCACGATCACAACAACATCAGAACCAACAGAGAGAGAAATAACTACTCGAAAAAATAAAAACACCCACTACCACCACCACTACTACCACCACCACTACTACCACCACCACTACCACCATCAATGCCACCTTTACTACTACTACCATCACCACCATAACCACAATTATCATCACCGGCAGATGTGGAGGAGAGAAGCACAGGGAGAGACAGACAGACTGATAGACAGATATATTAACAGAGCCACAGGAGCCACAGGGAGACCCAACATAAACTCCCTGAGAGGAAAATACACGAGGGCCAGTTTTTGGTAGTGGCCCGGGTAAGAGAGAGAGAGAGAATCCTGACAAATTCGGCTTTTAGCTGAATATTCCCTTAAATGTGTGGTAGTGATGCCCGGGGCCCGCTACTGCTGCTGCTCCTCTCTGGTAATTTATTTATTTATTTTTTCATTCAAACACAATCTACATAAATGAGTAAATAAATAAATAAATAAGTCGTGTGCGAGTTTGTTTGTGTGTGTGTGTGTGTGTGTGTGTGTGTGTTGTATCCCACACACACACAACCAGACGAAAACTCATTAAACTTACAAGTCTTTTTCGATCCTCTACACCTCTCAGACTTTTGCTACCGTGACCTGAAATACTTAAAACACTCCATCATCACCCTTCACTCCCTCACCCCTCCACCTCCCACCCCACACCCCACCCTCCCCCACCACACCCCTCTCCTTACCCTGCCATATAAGAACGAATTTAATAACGATCTCCTCTCAGTGTTAATTTAACGTAGTGTCGTGGTTAACTGGCCCAGATTAGATGGATTACCCTAATGAGTTAACGAATGGTGTAACTGCATAACCTCACCTTAGATCGTGTATAGAGTTAACTAGTCAGGTATATACGCTCTCACATCACCAGTTAGCGGCTATCTTGAGAATCCATATTTATGTTAAAACTTAAGTAATCCAGTAACGTAAGTTGTCATTATCGCAATACTTTATGGAGATATTTAACTTCAAGGGTCTTTTGAGAATCCATCTTTGTATCGTAGCTTAAGTGAGTCAGTACGATACGTTCTAACATATCCAATTAGGGAAGAAAATATAACTTACGAACCTTATAGAATCTAACCTTTGTGTTGTAACCTAAACCACATTACATACGTTCACACATCATCAGGTAGGTATAAATGAACATCCGAACCATTAAGAAATAACCAACGATACTTTGAGGGAAAATCACACACACGCGCGCCATTACAGTGAACGCAATATACATCGTCGTGGCTAAGGCTGTGTGTGTGTGTGTGTGTGTGTGTGTGTGTGTGTGTGTGTGTGTGTGTGTGTGTGTGTGTGTGTGTCTTACTTTTGTCCGCAACTTTAAATTGAGGAAAAATATGAAATTGGCGCCATAACTCAGGGTCAAACAGATTGCCTCAGGGGGAGTAGTGCATCACATCAGTCTGTTGCGTCTGTTGGTTCGTGTTGTGTGTGAGAGAGAGAGAGAGAGAGAGAGAGAGAGAGAGAGAGAGAGAGACTGTATAGGTGAAGTAAATTAAGTATACTTCAGCAGCACCACTACAGAAGTATACCACAAATATACTCGACATACAGCAGCAGAAGTAGAGCAGGTTCGCCAAACTATGCGGGGAAGGAGGTCGCCATCCTCCATTGAGCGTGATTGAACATTAGCATAACATTATTATCCCCGAGGCTACCAGCTGATGCCCCTCCTACTGCCCCCCGTCTGTCCGTCTGTCTCTCTGTCTCTCTCTCTCTCTCTCTGTCTCTCTCTCTCTCTCAACCTCCTCCATCACTCTCTCCCCGGTCACAGATAGAACAGTCACCCTGCCACGCGACCTCCCAAAAAACTTCTCACTACAACAAACATCACCACTACCAGAAGCTACCCAGGGCGTGGTTGTAAGAGGAGGAGGACTGACTCTCTCTCTCTCTCTCTCTCTCTCTCTCTCTCTCTCTCTCTCTCTCTCTCAAGTGTCATGTTGCAGAGTGAGCAAAAAAAGGTGTTATTAGAGAGGATAGCCCTCTTTCTTCCCTTTCCTCTATCTCTCTCTCTTTATCCCTCTGTCTCTTTTTCTCTCTCCCTAGCTATGTATATATCCCTCCCTCTATATCTCTCTATCTATCCCTCCCTCCCTCCCTCTTTTTCTATCCTCCTCTCTCTATCTATATATCCCCTTCTCTCTCTCTTTCTATCCCCCTCTCTCTCTCTATCCCCCTCTCTCTCTCTATCCCCCTCTCTCTCTATCTCTCTCTCTCTACCCTTCTCTCAGGTTGCAGGGTGTGAACAATGTAGGGCGGAGGCATTAGGGGGGAATATGGTCCTTTAAAGGCAACAAAAACATCCTACCATCCCAAATAACCTTCTGTAGGAGACAGCCCGTGTGTGTGTGTGTGTGTGTGTGTGTGTGTGTGTGTGTGTGTGTGTGTGTGTGTGTGTGTGTGTGTGTGTGTGTGTCTGTGTGTCTGTCTGTTTCTTCTTGCCCCTAAAGCGGAAATAAAGAGAGGAGGGGCATATGAAGATCAATTTTGAGGGTTGAGGAAAGAGAAGTTTGAAATTTATCCTCTGTCTCTCTGCTCTGTCTCTCCCCCCTCCCCCCTCCTAAAGGCATAGGGGTAGAAGTCTTGAATTACCGTTATATTGGAGGTGTGTAGAGGGAATCAACCCACAAGGTGTCCTTATGTGTACTATTCTTTATAGGTAGAAAAGGTATAGAATTTTTTTTGGGTGTTATTATTATTATCATTATTATTATTATTGTTATCATTATTATCATCATTATTATTATTATTGTTATCATCATTATTATTATTATTATTATTATCATTATTATTACTACTATTATTGTTATTATCACTGAAAATTAAACAAAATAAATAAGACAAATATAAAAGAATACTACAAATCAAAATGCGACCAAATACTGTACGAATGTCGGGATCACCTGAAGATTATAGCCGTCCCCTAGTTTATTTCACCTGAATATCAAAGACCTTAACACTACCAGAGGGGGTTAGGTTAGGTTAGGTTAGGTTAGGTTATGTAACTAGATACGACACCAGCTAGACACAGGTAAACACGACACCAATTAGACACAGGTTAATACGACACCAATTCGACACAGGTAAACACGACACCAACTAGACACAGGTAAACACGACACCAATTAGACACAGGTAAACACGACACCAATTAGACACAGGTAAACACGACACCAACTAGACACAGGTAACCATCTAGACACAGGTAAACACGACACCAACTAGACACAGGTAAACACGACACCAACTAGGACACGGTAAACACGACACCCAACTTAGACACAGGTAAACACGACAACCAACCAGGCACAAAAAAGTAAAAACACGACACCAACTAGACACAGGTAAACACGACACCAATTCGACACAGGTTAATACGACACCAACTAGACACGAGTAAACACGACTGCAATTAGACACAGGTAAACACGACACCAACTAGACACAGGTAAACACGACACCAATTAGACACAGGTAAATACGACACCAACTAGACACGAGTAAACACGACTGCAATTAGACACAGGTAAACACGACACCAACTAGACACAGGTAAACACGACACCAATTCGACACAGGTTAATACGACACCAACTAGACACGAGTAAACACGACTGCAATTAGACACAGGTAAAGTCATTAAACAGGTGAGAGAAACATTAAAGCCTTTCTATATCATCAAAGTCTCACCTGTCCGGATCAAACACAAACACCACATCACTCACCATACACACATACACCTGAACATCGGTCAATAAACACATATAAACACAACCTTTAAACATTGCGGGGTATTTAAACATTGTGAAGAATAAACATATCTATAATTAAAAAAAAAAAAAATCCTTATCAGTTTCATAATGTTTAAATCGCGATAAAAAGAAACATTAATTAATATCGGTGTTTTGGATTTTCACAGAATTGGTAAACATGATGATGATAAACACACGATACACATCTTAATACCCAAATGTTGTAGAATTCTGGAATGTTTAGTAATACCATACACTAAATACAACTCATAAACATCACAATTTTCAAGGTCTTTTAATGTTAAGGAGGTCGGTATTGTTATGATAATGTACACACACACACACACACACACACACACACACACACACACACACACACACACACATTTGACCCTATGATACGACCCCTTCATAAGATACCACATTAAACTAACCCCCAGCATAACATAACACAGACGCCATAGTGTACTCACCTATTGTAATAACATCTGGTAGTTGACTAGTGAGGGGCAAGTGGGCAAGCAGCACCACCACACCCACACTGAGGGCTGCCCACACTCCACATCGACACATCCTGAAGGTTTTAGCTGATGAAACTCTCGACACTTCAGCTGATGTTGGTTTTACGTTCACTCATTTATCGACGTCGAGCACATACCTATCGACTGTTGGCCATACACTCATCAATAACCCACCCGGCCCATTGTGTCCACTATATGTAAAATTCACAAATAATTTCTTTTTTCAATTCGTTATGATAATTATTTCTTTCATTTCACTAAGTTATTTTTTTTTCTCTC